TGATGTGGTCACTTGGGTTCAAAAAAGCTGAAATTTTGCAAGTGCTATATATATATACAGGTTCCATATATATACATATATATACATACAAATATATATTACAAGGGTATATATAACATATATACAAAACATAAGTGTGTGTGTGTGTGTGTGTGTGTACGTATGTGTATGTGTAAACACACAACGTACATATATACAAAGGTAAGGCAAGGTTGTAATTCATACATGCCTCTCACTTTGCTTGGTGCTTTACAGTTTACAAAGCTTTCCTGTGCATCTCATTCGATCCTACCACCACCCGCAGAGGGAGGAAGGACAGGGTTATCAGATGTACTTTACAAAGGAGGGAGCCGGGACTCAAGAAGGTGAAGGGCATGGCTCCAGGTCACGCTGAAACTGAGTACCACAGCAGGACTCAGTCCTGGGTTTTCTGATGGCAGGCCTAGTATTCTGCTGCTGGCTTTGTGATAACTTCCCCATCTTAGGGGAGGGTAAAAACGGCCTTCCAGAGCTTCTCAATGTGCACACACAACCAAAGCTTGGTCTGCTTTGCAGCCTGACTGTTCATTTATTGGACCCAGCATTCAATCTGTCATGCATATTGAGGAAATGAATCCAATTTAAAACAGAAACATTGTAAGCAAAGATAGGACCTCTGCGTCAAAGGCACTTCGCTGGGAAATGAGACTGACCTCCCATGAGGTGACAGGGACCATATGTACGGCACGTAACTTTCCACAGGCTCTGTTCTGTTCCTCATCACCTTTTATTAATGACAGCACTTATGTGAGCTAACACTGTCTTTATCTGAGAACATTGTTCCCAGGCAAATGCTGCAGAAGCAGGCACAGAGTGGTCCATAAATTTGCTGGAATCCCACAGATTACTAACAAGGATGGAATTGAGAGCTCTCCTGAGGAATGCATTCCATCCTTTTACCAAGATCATTTTTTGAAACTTCATAATTTTTTTTCCTCAGGAAACTTGGGTTGGTTTGTTTGTTTTTTTAGATATGCAAAACTTGCTAATTCCTTTTTTAACCAGCTCTCTTTAGGGGAAAAGCTAATTTGATCAGAAAAGAGAAAATTCAGTTTGTAGAAAAATTAAAGTATCAAAATACTCACTGTTCTTTATCACTGAAGGAAAGCAAAGAAAGGAGAGAAAGAGAAAATAAAGTTAGGAAAAAAAATCTCCTAACGATGCCAACGCTGGATGCAACAACCACAGAGTGTAAATTGCAATGACCTACTTCTGGTATGATTACCAACCCCCCCAGTCATTATCATCTCATTTCGGCACATCCGAAAAAGGCTGCTGCAATGTAGGGTTGTAAAATCCTCAGCTTTGATTAAAATGACCAATCAGTTCAGCTTATTAATTAACTGAGCTGATCACTGATGTATGTGAACAATGGATTTTCGGTACCAAAGAGAAACCACCTAATGGCAGCATGGCTAGCCTCATCCTGGGGGAGGAGGAGCACACTGAGGGAGGGCCATGAGCCCCGAACAAGTCAGCGGATCATTCACTTGCAGTCCCCCACTTTGGTAAAGCAAGTTGTTCCAGAAAGGGGAACTGGATCTCCATGTACTAGGTGAGCAATCACAGCCATGTCATGGCCTCCCTTTGGGCCTCAGTTTCCACCCCCGACCTCTGGTACTCTCTGGCTTGCAGACTTGAAAGCCATGGAGAAATATCAACTCTCAGGCACCAGGATTTCTCCCCACGTATTCCCAACACAGGGAGCACCCTCCCCAAGGAAGAAGCAAATTGCTTCCCGGCTTTCAAACGCAATCACAATGACGGTGTTTCAAACATCGTCATTAGATTCAAGGAGGCTGAGAGAGGAAGGTATTTGAAAATCACGAAAGCATCTGAAAATCACAAAAATAGTAAATGTCTCTGGCTAGCCAGCAGTTAATTAGGAGAAAAGCATTAGAGGCGTCTACAGGAGCTGCAGCAGATGAGCCAGCATGTGTGATGACTGTAATTCACCCATTAGCATTTATTTGAAAAATAATTTTAATATCTGACAGAAACGCAGGAGCAATCAAGGCAGCTGGATGTGCGCAGAATGCAAGATGTTTCGTAGGAGCCCGGCAGCACTTTGATGAAACTGCGTCCAGACTGTTTGAATAATTCTGATTTAATTGTAGGGCAAATTGTTTGGCTTCATATTGACTAAAGTAAACTCTGATGGATGGTATTTTAATTAATTGACATTTCTTAAATAAAATAAATATTTTACCCCCATCCACCCTTCAGGCAACTGTTTATCTTACAGAGACACAATTTTTGGCTGACGAAATACTCTCTGCAAAGTAAGTTTGGCTCCAAGAGGACACCAGGGGAAGGGCTTGGCAGACTAGAAGTTTCCTCTTGACAAGGAAGCCAACAGAGTTCCCTGGGGTCTTCAAAACTGTAAAATTTGTAGAACTAGAGGTCTTAGAAGGAAGCGGACAGGGGCTTTTGCTTCAGAGAATATGAGTGGACTAAATATTCAGAAAGACCCTTCACCAGTATATAATTAGGTCCTAGATAAATTAGAGCAGATTCTCTTTTTAAAAAGATTTATGTATTTATTTGAGAGAGAGAGCGCGTGCACGAGCAGAAGGGGAAGAGGGAGAGGGAGAGAGATTCCCCAGCAGACTCCGCGCTGAGCACAGAGCCGGACACGGGGCTCGATCTCACGACCCTGAGATCACGACATGAGCTGAAACCAAGAGTTGGACGCCCAACTGACTACACCACTCTGGTGCCCCAGGGCAGACTCTTTTTTAATGCAGTTCTGGGATTGCTAGAAAGCAAGGGAATTCTCCAACATCGCCTCCCCTGGCAAAGCAAATAAACAAAATAGACTTTGTCAAAATAAAAATGTTTCCTCCTCAAAAGATCCTGTTATGAGAAAGAAAAGGCGCATCGTAGACCAAGAGAAAATATGTGCAAAATGTGTTTCCAAAAAAAGGACACTTATCCATAACATATGAAAAAAACCCTGTAAAATTTAACAAAAAGGTAAATGACCTGATTTTAAAAATGGACAAAAGACTTGAACAGACATCTCAACAAAGAGGTTAGAGGAATGGCGAACATTTCATAAGATGTTCAGCATCATTAGTCAGTAGGGAAATGAGAGTGAAAGCCATAGAGAAATGCCACTGTGCAAACACACTAGAAGGGTTAACACTGGAAAAACTGGTCATCTCCAGAGATGTCCCTATCATGCAAGTAGGGACAGTCTACTCCCAAATAATTACCCAAGAGAGAGGAAAGCATCTCTATAGGAGGTTTCATTTGTACCAGCCCCAAACTGGAAACAGCCCAGAGTCCCTCAGTACACAGGCAACTAAACAAATTGTGGTATATCCACACAACGAAATGGAATTCAGTCATACAAAGGAACAGACTATTGCTACGCAAAACAGTTTGAATGTTCTAGAACAATAGGGAGGGCTCATGAAATAAATTGTGCTGAGGGAAAGAGGAGAGACATCTCTTCCCCAGAAAAGAGTTCGCGCTCTACGATGCCATTTGTAGGACATTCAGGAAAATGCAAACTAATGTATAGTTACAGAAAGATGAGCAATTACCTAGAAATGGTAATTTCTATTGGGGAGGAGATGGAAGAAGAGGCACAAGGAAGCTTCTGGGATGGATGGATTTGTTCATTATCTTGGCTGTTGTGACAGCTTCCCGAGTGTATGTTTTTACAACGACCAGATCATAACTTTGTGTGCTGTTGAAGGTACGTATGCATACTTTTATAAAGGCAATCTTTTGAAAAAGAAAAAGAAGACCCAGCAAACGGAATCCAGGACAGTGAGCTGTGAGCAAGAAGCCGAGGCAAACACCAGCACTGCTGTTCTGGAGTCTGACCTTCAGATCCTCAGGGGCAGAGAAGTTCAATCTGAGACCCCGAAATGGAGCCAGGACCCTCTGGGGGGGGCGGTGAGGGGGGCTAACGTCATCCCAGGGGGAGCGGTACCCCTGACTCCAGGCAGGAGCAAGAGTGCCAATCCCTCTGAAGAAAAATATCCCTGAAGGAGATTCTCCAGGATTCTCACAGATTGAGCACACAATAAAAAATTACCAAGTGTTCAAAGAAACAAGCCATTTTGAGTGAAAATCTCCAGGAATGATAAACAGCAGCTTTAGACTGTCAAGCAATGGTGTGCTGGTGAACTTTTCACAACTGATGATTTAACAGTGGGGAAAAAGCCCCACTGAATGCAAAACCGGGAAGAAATACACAGTAGTGTATCATTATATACACGGGTATGATAGACGTACATAACATAACACAGAGAATAACAAAATGTTGTAAAATAATTAAGTGATTAATTTTGGGTCTTTACATCCTTTGTGTTGAATATCATTTAACTGTAGAATTACAAACTCAATTTTTCAGAATGGTCATATTTAATCACTGGCTTGGAAAATGCCTGAAAACTTATCAGCTCTCATGAGCCAGGGTGGTACAGATCCGAGGCGTCACCGATTCGCGTATAATAATCACTGGATACAGAATGTGATGTCACCTTTATGTCCCATTTCCCAATTTTTAAATCATTAGGCCAAAAACAAACAGTAAGAAAATACTTCTGTGGGTCAGAGTCAGCTGGTGGCCTGCCATTTTGCGCCCTGTGCCTTAGTCCAACTTCTTCACGTGATTGATAAGAAAACTGAGGCCCAGAAAGGGGCAAAGCTTTGCCCATGATCACACAGGAAATGAGCTCGGATCTAGAAGCAGAACCAAGCCCGATTCTAAGCACCGGGTCCATGCTCTTACCACCATCTCTAATATGGGGCATGCAGCTCAGAATTTCCTCTTGTTATTCCAACCTTGCAAAGCAGTAAAATCAGTGAAGTTTCTATAACAATACCCCTACCAGATCCATTTCTTCCCACCCCAGGGAAGGAAATTCTATTTGTTTCTTTGCAACTCCTTTCTCCCTCACTGACCCCACACAAGCCACGCCCCAGAAGACGCAGCCACTTACTTTGACTGAAGAGGTCGGTCACTGGGACACATCCAACGGCTAGAGCTGTTGCTGAATACGGTGTCCGTCATGGCAGAAGTTCGGTGCTCCTGGAAAATAGGAACCCAGAGAGGACATCACCCAGTTAGCCAGCCACTCTTTGTATTTCTCAAGTCCTTCCTCTATGCCAAGCACTCCGGGGAATGCAGAGAAGAAAGGGCACTTCACCCAGCTTCTCCACTTCCCAGATGGGGAAAACTGAGGACATCACACTTTCCCTAGTGGCAGAAATGGATCAGAGCGGAGAGCCTTCTTCCTTAAATGCACATTCTTCCCATTCACTAACCCAGGATGACATGCCCAGCAGGGGGAGGGTCATCAGAGTTCTTAATTCCAATCCAGGGTCTTCCTACTGGGGGATGTCATCGGACGCATTTGCCAGTCCACTTGGCTTGGTCAGCTTTGAGATCCGAAATCCTGGAGTCAATCCTGGCTTTTTTTTTAATACTTTAACACCCAAGCCATCAGAAAATCATGTTGGCTTGATCTTCATAATGGACCCAGAATCTGCCCACTGCTCTCTGCCTGGCTGGCTACTATAGCCTCTTCACTGGTAGCCCTGCTTCTACCCTTGGCCTTCTTCAGTCCATGCTCCACACAGTGGCCAGGAAGATGTTCACAAACATAAGTCACAGCTTGTAAAACAGCACCACCATGGTTAAACACAGAGCTAGCGTATGACCCCGCAATTCCATGCCTAAGTATCTACCCTCGCAAGAGAAATGAAAACACATGCCCACGCAAAAACTTGTACGCAAATGCTCATTGCAGCATTGTTCATAATAGCCAAAAGGTAGGAACGACTCAATATTCACCAACTGATGAATGGACAAACAAGATGCGGTGTATCCATGCAATGGAATGTCATCCAGCTGTAGAAAGGAAGGGAAACTCCAAAACATGCCGAGTGAAAGCCAGGCACAAAAGGCCACATAGTGTATGATTCCCTCTATAAGAAATGTCCAGAATAGGCAAATCTATAGAGACAGAAAGTAGATTTTTGATTGCCAGAGGCTGGGGGAGGGTAGAAGGGCTGGAGGTGATGGCTACTGCGGGGCGGGGGGGGGGGGGGGCAATGAGAATGTTCTAAATTCATTGTGATGATGGTTGCACAACTTCATGAATATACTAAAAGCCACTAAATTGTCTACCTTAAAAGGGTGAACTGTATGATATGTGAATTTTATCTCAGTGAAGCTGGGGGAGGGAGGTGACCCTTCGGAAAACTGGCAGGCCCATTAAAGCTATAAATATTTACCTACCCTACGGTTCACGAATTCTACTCTTAGGCACATAGCCAGGGGGACAATGCTCATGTTCTAAAACATGTACAAGAATGTTCATAGCCTCTGTATTCATAACAGCTAAAAACTAGAAGTCATTCAAATGTACATCAACAGGAGAGCAGATAGATAAAAGTGGTCTGTTCACACAGTGGAATACTGGTCCACAATAAAAGACAAACTCCTGATGTACGTAACAATGGGGACGAATCTTGAAGACATGATGTTTTATGAAAGAAGCCAGCAGGAAAAGAGGACATGCTATTTGATGGCATTTACATAAAAGTTAAGGACAGACAAAGGTATTTGATGGTTGTAGAAATCAGAGCAAATCCATGGCTAACTTTGGGGAGGGTACTGGCTGGGAAGGAGCAGGAGGGGAACTCAGTAGGGTGAAAATGTTCTGTATCTTCACGTGGGTGGTACGTACATCTGCAAAAGCCAGGTGTGCACTTTATGTCCCTTCCTTCACCCCAAATAAAGTAAATCAGCCCATGTCACTCTTTTGCTCAAAAGTCTTCAATGGTTCCTTATTGCTCCCAGAACAAAGTCTCAACTCCTTATCATGATCTTGGCTCCTTATGACCTCCTTCTTTAACCCCACCTCCCACTCTCCTCTTGCTCCCTACTCAGCCTCACAGGCCTCCCTGTGCTTCCTCCAACATCCCATGTTCTTGCCCTCCCATCTGCCTGAACTCCATCTGCAGATGTTTGCTGGATTCATTCTCTTCCCTTGTTTAAGTCTATTCTCAAATGTCACCTCCTCAAAGGGCCTTCCCTGACTGCTCCACTTAAAACAGCTCCTCCACTCTGGCTTCCTTCACTCTGATTTCCTTTTCTTCAGAGCTCAGATCCCTTCCCAAATTTATCATATGTCTTGTTTGTTTATTTGCTTAGAATTTGCATCTCTTAGCTCTAAAATGTAAGCCCCTTGCAGGACTTATTCTGTTCTCTTCCCTCTTAATCTCCAACACCTCCCATAGCGCCTGGCACGTAGAAGGCGTTTAATAAATATTTGTTGAACGCATGCATGAGTCTCCTTTATTTTTTTTCTTCTTTTTTTTTGAGTCTCCGTTAACACTAAGGCAATCCAGCTGAACTGAGCCAGGCTTCTGGCCTCTGCGAAGGTCCCCGCCTTGCACCTCCCGCAGGGTCTAGCCGAAGAGAAAGGGGGAGAGACCACGGAGATTACATTTAATTAATTAAAACAACAACAACAACAAACTTCAGAAGGTGGCTCACTGTGTCCAGTGGGTCCTGATTTCCCCGAAGGTCCTGGTACAACACCGCCTTGTTTTCTGGGACGCTGAATAGCTGAGAAGCCAGGAGGTGAGCAGGGAGGGTACTCGCTCTGCTATCCTGCAGCCGGTGGGGTTATTAAATCTTCCAGTGGGCTGAGGGCTGGACACGGGGGAGAGAAGCCTCTTATAGAAAAGTCATTTCGTCTGCTCCCCTGTGGTTGACATAATCTTCCCAGACTCATATGACCATTTCACTGTTTCCACTTGGAAAACAGAAGGAAAGGAGGGATGGCTCCTGGTGCAGAGGAAATCTGCTGAGAAGAAACTTAACGTCTCATTTTTGTCTGTGCCGGGAGCTGAGCAAGGCCACCCTGGGCCCTGCTGGGTGCCGAGACCCTCGGGCCCAGGTAATGGGCTTCCTTGGCTGTCCCTGGACTGGACTTAGAATGTTCATTTGAATACCCTGCCTTCGCTTTGCAGCAGAGATGAAGCACTGCCCTGGGGGGTGGGGTTGGGGTCCAAAGAAGCAGGGAAGGCTGGGTCAAGGGTTACACAGTACCCCCTCCCGTGAACTCTGATCTCCAAATTCCGGTACCCTCAAGGGGGAACCTGGCCACCACCCTCTCCAGCATTCATTCAGTCATACGCACCAGGAGTTCATTTCCTATTAATATTCTGCCTGCCAAGTGCAAGAGCGTTGGCTGACAGCCCCGCAGAAACCACCCAGCTCCATCTTCCAGGCCAGAAGCCACCCCGGAGAGTACTGCTTATTTCGGCTTTGCCATCCAGGGCTCTCAAAGCACTTCACCTCTCAGGACTGGACTCCTTGTCCAGTGCGTGCCCTGGTCAACCGGACCTGGGACAGGAGAGGGGATGCCTGAGCCATGGAGGCACTGAACAGCAGAGGAGTGAGCCCAGAGAAAGGAGGTCATGTGTCAGCAGGCAGGTCCTCACTGGGGGGGGGGGGGAATAGATGCAGGGGGAGGGGAGGGGGCTAGCAGGCCCTGCTGATGTCCTTTCCAGGAGGGGCGTCCACCCCCCAGCCTCTAGGAGTGTTCCAGCTAAGAGCTCAGGGCAGCACCATTTTCCAGAGGATTGCCCTCAGCCAGCAGAAGCAGCTGCCTTGCCCAGAGATACCCCAGGTACAGCCCAAAGCCAATGAACAACGGACAGGGCGGGGATAGAAAAGCACAGCCTCCTTGGGTCCAGGTGGGACAGCTCTGTGTACCAACGGCTCCAGAGCTCCCTGCAGGATCAGGCTGAGGCCAGACCCCAGCTGAAGCCACATCCCCCACTGCCCTATACGGCTTCTCTGAGTCATCTCTAGTCCTAAATCCCATCACTGGTTCTGCTTTTAGAGAACTCGACCTCATGGGGGAGTGGAAGGGAGACTTTTAGGACAGCAGGGCTCGGATCCCCGATTCATCACCCCGGGCAAGCCACTTAACCGCCCTCTAACCTGATAGGAGGAGATCCTAAGATGCTCTCCTACCCGCCCGCAGATGGTGCTCCATGAAGTCCAGCCAAGATGTCAGGTTTGAGGATGAGTTCATAGAAATGGTAAGCCTCTGACCTTTTCAGATGCCCCTGCCTCTCCTACTGCATGCTACAAAGAAGCCATCAGCCCAGTGGACAGGAGGCCTGACCAACATTGATTCCGGGAGCCAAAGGAGAAATGCACGTGTCAGATAAAGTACATAGGATTCTGCCCTAGAACCCGCAGAACCTTGGTGTTGCCGACCTGGTGAGTTTAAGCACCCACAAGAGTCCCTGACACGCTGTGAGCACTTGCAGCATTCTGCTTTCCCCCCTTTCCTGCTTCCCCTAGACTATATAGTTTATCCAGCAATGATGACTAACATTTCTTGAGCATCTACTATGTGCAAAAGTCCATACCTTCACCATTTGCTTGAATCCTTACAATCCTGCTCCCAAGTAAGTGAGAGCATCCTCATTTTACAGGTGAGAAAGTGAGGCTCAGAGTGCTTAAGCCACTTGCTTAAAATCATACAGCTACCAAGAAGCAGAGCCAGGATTTGAACTCTCTCCCAAGCCCACGCACTCATTACTACTCTGGTCACACCCACAGAACATTCCTCCTCGGTTTTAGATTGTTCAAACCTGACGAGTGTTTGGTGACCCTCGGCCCCTGACTGTATTCCCACCTCTCAGCCTCAGAAACAAGCAGAGATGCGCCCACCCAGCGCCCTCCCTGGAGATGCTGAAAGAGCACACATTTCGGCTTGGTCAGGGCCGAAGCCATGGCTTAGATCCAGTCCTGTAGCTGTAAGTTCAGAAAGCATAAAATCACCACCTCCCCAGAAGTCAGAGGCTCCAGCTCTTTTTCCTGCACACAGCTTGCCCCCATTCCCAGAGCAAGCTCCAAGACACAGTCTGCTTTGCATCACAAAAACAACAATAGCAACAACCGACAGTTCCCGTATCAAGGGCTTGCCACCCTCTAAGTGCCTGTCAAGTTTTATCCTGTTCAGCCTTCACCGTAGCCTT